AAAGTCTGTGCCTGAAGAACCAGATTGATCTACCTTTAAATGTTCGTATATTTCCCTGGCTCTTTCACAAATAAATTCAGTAGAAACTGAATCACCATTCATTTGTTTTTCCCTAATCCAAAGGAGAAGTAACCTCTCTGTTTCTGCTATTAGGGATCTACCTTTGAACACTCTGGTAGATTTGTCTCTCACTATCACTTCCTTGAATTTGTCTTTCTGTGCAAGAATTGTTGACACAGTTGATGTCGACATGCCATATTCTTTGCTTAGCACATTTGTTCTAATGCCTTCTTCATGTTTCTTAATAATTTCCTGTTTCATCTGAATTGAAATCGCTTTTCTAGATTTCTTGGGACCCATGCTGGATTCAAAAACAATTTCAACAAGTGATATTTTAAGCTTAATTGCTGTAAATAAAGAATATTTTCTTTAAATCAACACTGCACTGCGCTATATATCATCAATATGTAAAATAAATTTCAAAGTGACCAATAATATGACTGAAAACACAGAAAAAAAGCGTTTATGTTGAAGAGTCTGAAGCAAGATGTTACCTCCACTGAAAAGACACAGAGGCTGACGCCTGTTTGGTGTGCTGACAGGCTGTTTGGTGCGCATAAAACTAGTTTCCTGTACTTCAATTATGTTCAATAATTGTTAAAATGACTAAAAAATTTAATATAAAACTTTTAAAATGATTGAATAGTGTAACCTTCTTGATATTTACTAAAACGGTAAGGAATTTAAGCCCTAGAACTGATTACTGTATTGGCGGACTAATACTACAGCTAGTGTGCAAGCGAAAACATGTTGAGGGCCGCTCGTAAGGAATTCGTTAATCGAGGGAATGCTCGTTAACCGAAGTTAAGAATCTTATGGAAGGTAATTCGTTAACCGAGGGATCACTGTACAAGTGATATAGTAAACCCTTGCTATTCACAAGGGTTAGGTTCCAAGGAGTAGCACGAATTGGTAGAACCGGTAATAGCCACTTATATACTACGACCTTAGTGCACTACTGTATGCCAATATATACTGTGAATGAGAAACTTACTCACAATACTGTACTGTCCTTACATTCTTATGTGGGAGCTTGATGAAGTGGTGCACTGTACATAGGGAGACATCTGGTTACTGAAGCATAGGTGGATCATCAGGATCACTGGTGGAAGAGGGTGCTGCAGTGGTGGTTGGTGGAGTGGCGCACGACCGGGAGGTGGCGCACGACCGGGAGGTGGCGCGCGACCGGGAGGTGGCGCGCGACCGGGAGGTGGCGCGCGACCGGGAGGTGGCGCACGACCGGGAGGTGGCTCGTGGCTGGGAGGAGGAGGGTGGAGCGGCAGTGGTAGTAGCTTTTTACCAACTTTTCCAAATCCACTTCTGTCAGTTCCTCTCCATTCCCATCAATCAGATCTTCCACATCATCAACAGCCATGTCCACAAACACCTCACCACCCAGCTGACGTGCAACACTCACAATGTCATTCACATCCTTTACTATGGACGGAAATCCCTGGAAGTTACTCACACACTCGGGTCATAAGGTGCGCCAACATGCATTCACTGTCTCTGGTGTATTGAATTCTTCACTGATGTTGGTAATACAGCCCACAATGCTGTACTCCTTCCAACACTTGTTAACATCAAGGTCAGGGTCTTCATCCATGGCACTACGGATACGACCAAAAGAGCCGCGTGTGTAATATATCTCGAAGGTGTGTATCGAGAGGTTGAATAAGAGCAGTGGTGTTAGGGGGTAGGAACACCACTTCTACACCTGGATGGCTAAGCTGTAAACATTCTGGGTGGCCTGGTGCATTATCTGTCAATAATAACACTCGTCCCCTCCTTTAACTTGTCTAATAATTCAACTTTCTTTGTCAAGGTCATCACTGACTTTTACCTTTTATTTTTCATTCCACTAGCATCACTGACACTAGGCAGTCTTTTAGGGACCATTTTTCACACAAAACACTAAAGTTGTGAGAGTACTGTACAACACGAGATGCTGGGTCACTGGTGAGCAGAGGCAGATGAGATGCTGCAGGCGGGTGGGGTGACTCGTTGGAAAAGGCAGTCAAGCTAGCCACCATCTGCTTTCCTCGAATCGTCAAAATCACAAATAGCAAGGGTAGCTATACTGTATAGGCAGTGGTGTAGATGATAACTATACAGGTGGCAGGAATTATTGTTGTTGTGTATTACAGAGAGTACTGGGAGCGGTTGGTCCTGTGTAATGCCATGGTATGGACGTGTGAGCTGACAGGACGCCCCAACCTCACCTACGCTGAAGCTAGCGAGAGTGAGACCAAAGCCAAAAAGTGCCTTGCTAATGTTCCTCAGGTGAGCCGCTGCTATAGTCTGTATAAACACTGTGGAAGGATGGGGGAGTGTTGTAAATGTGAATGAGGCCAGTTGTAGCCAGTCCTGGTTATGAGGCCAGTTATTGTAGCCAGTCCTGGTTATGAGGCCAGTTATTGTAGCCAGTCCTGGTTATGAGGCCAGTTATTGTAGCCAGTCCTGGTTATGAGGCCAGTTATTGTAGCCAGTCCTGGTTATGAGGCCAGTTATTGTAGCCAGTCCTGGTTATGAGGCCAGTTATTGTAGCCAGTCCTGGTTATGAGGCCGGTTGTTAACCAGTCCTGGTGTAGCCCTGGTTATGAGGCCAGTTATTGTAGCCAGTGTTAGTAACTTGAACAAAGAGTTGGTCCTGTTCTGTGACTCAAGTTACTGATTCCCTCCATCCTATGGTCCTCACACACCTACCTGGCCCTTACACACCTACCTGGCCCTTACACACCTTCCTGGTCCTCATACCTACCTGGCCCTCATACACCTGCTTGACCCTCATACACCTTTCTGGCCCAAGATATTCAGGTAAAAGAAAGAGTTATATGTTAATAATTACTTGTGATGCTTCTAACACATTGTTAAGTTAGCTTGTATCGGTTTAGTTCAGCATACAATACTCCATACAGGTAATCCGGAAGCCCATGCTGTACATTGCCACCCTGACTCGCCGTGGACGTTATGCAGACATGAGTGAAGATGTCTTCAACTTTGTTCGTGACCGATATTTTGTCGGGGAAGAAGTTGAGGCCATTGTAAACAAGCATTGGTATGACTGTAAGGTAGGTGTCTTGTGTGATTTATGGATTCCTTAACACTTGGAATGAGAAAGAAAACTTGGTGCTTGGGGATGCAGTGATCCTGAGTGTTTGAGAAGTACCGTAGTTGTTTATGTACGAGTCCGGAGGAATGAAAACCCAGATTGATTACCTTCTCATTGGGATATGAGACAGGAAACTTGTTCGGGATGTTTAGGGGAAGAATGAGTCTTGTAACACTGTGTGACATGTTGCTTATATGGTGAAGAGGATGGTTATTGGAAGCAGTGTGTGAAAGTTGATGAAACAGAATGTAAGCAAAGATTTTTATGCCCAGTTGAGAAGAATGAAGGAAACAACAGTGGGAGGGACAGTGTAGTGAGATCTGGGCCAAAATAAATTGTCCTGCTGAGTGTGGCTGACGAGACATGTGGCTGCACGGAGAGCCCTGCCAGACATAGTGGTGGAATGATGAAATAGACAGATAAAGGAGACAAGAAGATTGTGCTGTGTGAGGCCTGGGGGATGGTGGTGAAAGGAGGAGTACCTGGAGGCCAAATATGGTACAGAAGAGAGTTTTATAAGGCTAAGAGGATATGAACAGCACACATTCTTGGATATGTTGAATAGTGCAGATGTTAGAGGTGAGGTGAACAGAACAGACAGCAAATGGTGGGTAGAAACAAGGATGTTGGTGAGCTGTGTGTGTGTGTGTGTGTGTGAAACAAGGGAATCAAGGATGCTTGGAGAAAGTACTATGATGAACTGCTGAATGAGGAGTAAGAATGGGACAGTGGCAGCCTAGAGGTAGTAGAACCAGTACAGGAACCATGCCCAATGATTGGAAGAGACTGGGCGGAGAAAGCACCTGGTAAAATAAAGAATGAAAACGCTGCAGGAAAGTCTGGGATAGGTGCAGAAAGGCAGAAGTATCAGGTGATGTAAGTGCATCAATGGTGACTGAATTTACAAATGAAATCATGGTGGAATGTATTGGGAGGAAGAGTGATCATGAATACTGTTCTTACTAGAGTAAAGGTGAACGTGGGCACTACAGGGGCCTGAAGCTGCTACATCAGGCTGTCAAAGTTGGAGAAAGAAAGATTGAAAAAGGAAATGCAGTTTGGATTAATGTAAGGTCGGGGGACTACCGAGGCAATACTTACGGCCAGGCGGCTACAAGAGATATATCTAGGGAAGGAGAGAATACAATATTGTGTCATATTTGTACAGCCCAAACCTGTACACCATATGGTGTAAACCTAACCTGACATAATAATATAACCCAACAGACTATAACCTAACCTCGTGCCTTATTACATAATCTAACCTAGCACATGAGGCTTCTCGTGCAACAAGGACATGGTCACCAATATGGTGTTTTCCAGTGGCGGACTGGGTCAAAAATTTATACCGGGAAAACTTGTAAAAGGGCCCACTCAAAAGGGCCCACTTAAAAGGGCCCACTTAATCCCAAAACGTAGTCAAAGGAATCAAATAAAATTAAAGGTTTTAAGCAAATAAAATGTTACATCTATTCAATATTGTTGTGTTTATAATGTGTGCAGCAAAATACCTGTACTAGAAAATTTTAATAATCTTATAATAAAAATGAAAATCTCGATCATTGAACAGCCAATCCGAGTAATTTACAAAGCATAATTTGAAATTGTTTTCAAAGTATAATTAAAATTGGAATGTGTGCATTTTTTAATGTGTGCACATATCACTAAAACAGTCAAAATTCAGTAGTTTACAAAGCACAAATCACCTAGACAGCAAGCAATCTAGAAAACTGTGTCGATTTTTTTCTCAAGAAAAGGACTACAGTAAAACCTCGATTAACCGACTTTCGGATTAACCGTAAATCCCGAACCCCTAATTTTTTTATTTATTTTTTTTTTTTTTACTCAGGGATTAGCCCACTCAGGCACAGGTCACTGACCCACATCGGGGCCTGGGGGGCTGATAATGTAATAATATTAATAATGCTAATAATAATAATAATAATAATAATAAAGAACCATAAAGAAATGCAAAAATGAAAAGAAAACAAGAGTGAGAAACAGTATATGTATGTTGTGTTGTCAATAGTAAGAGAAACAATTGAGACCCTGCAATTGTGTGTACATGAGGTATAAAGTCAGATCAGCAACCTGGGACTTGGTCACAATTTTTGTGATGACATATGTTCTTTGACTTTTCCATTTTTTATTCACTGTTTCTGTGCTGGTTCATATTTATTGACTAAAGTGGTTAATGTTTTAAAGCAAATTCTATTGAAATATGAATGGCAAATGAACAAAAATGAATAGAGGGACTTAAATGAGGTAGGTTAGGGAAAGGTACTTTGAAAATATATGTTTTATTTCCGTAGACTTTAATGTACTTTTAACCGACCTTTTCGATTATCCGTCGGCCCCTTCACCCCATATGTGGTCGGTTAATCGAGGTTTTGCTGTAATATCATCCACAGAAATTTCAGAAAGTAAATCTTTTTCGATGCTCATGAGCATAAAAGTTTCAAGTAGCTCATTTGATAGCGAAGAGCGTAATCGAGTTTTTACAATTTTCAACTTACTGAATGCGCATTAGCAACTGGATTGTGTGAACAACAGGGTCAAAAGATATTTGTAAGCTAAGAACAAATTCGAGTATGTAGATGCTTGCAAAGAATACTTAAATAGGATACGGAAACAGCAGAGCAGGCACTTCCTACATGACTTTCCAGAAGTGCAACGTGGACCTGAAATTACATCAAAGTGAGTTTGAAGTATCTGTTCTGATTCTAGGTGTCTGGTTGTTGCAAACTCTTCATTCAGAGTTTTCGAAAGGCTGTCGAAGTTTAGGATGAAAGACTGCAATTCATTGCTCAGTTCCTGCTTGTCCAAACCAAGATGATTGCATATGTTTTTCAGCGCTTCTGGTGGCAATCCATCTTCTTTGAGTTCTTGGAAACGACATGGATCAAAACAATACTTGTCGTAATTTGGTCGATCACTCGACGAAACACTTCCACCCTGTAGCGATCCACTGGGTCATCAGTTCTTTCATCCCTCTGGAGTTACCAGGCATTCGTCTCTTTCTTGATGTTCTCATCTTCCTGAATTCCCCTTCTATTGCAAAATCAGTTACCTCATCATCATCGAATATTTGATTCGCTGCCACAATGAAATTTCTTGTTGTTTTCATGATGTTTTTGTCCAGTTGTTTTAAAACCTCTTTTGCTTTTTCTACCATATTCCAGGCACTAAGACAATCTAGGCCTTCAGTTTGCAGATATTCCGAGGCCGATCTCAGGGTACCGTACACCTGCAATAACAAGAAACTAGTTAAATGAGTGTCAAAGATACGCCATTTATCAAGAAGTGAATTGGCCTCAAAAGCAACTTTCGCATCAAAATTGGGAGATTCGACAATCCGAAGCAAGACATAAATCGAGAGGTGAAACAACTCAGGCTGTGGCGAGTCAAAACTTCCGAAAATATGTTCAAGGGCCGCGTGTTTAGCCCACCAACGGGTTTCTCCAATCTTCTGCAAACGTTTTGGTTTCGCTGATCCAACCATCTTCTCTGAAGCAACTTCTGTCCAGATGTTCATTCTCTTACATGATTCTGAAAAATATTTCACTGTTGACTGTAGTAGTCCGATCAAGTTTTTGACCGGCAGAATATTTTGGACCAGATCTGTTGATGCCAAATTAAGGATATGAGCATGGCACCAAATGTATACAGATTGTGGGGCTTCATCTCTTATATACTTCACCACACCGCTGTATTCACCTCTCATGTTAGCAGCTCCATCAAACGACGCACCTGCGATGTTCTCCACTATGTTCTAGCGTAGTCTTCATATTTATCAATCATAATGAAACTGACACCAAAATAAAGAGAAATAATTAAGCTTTAAAACTATATAATGTTCATACTATATTTATTGATGAATTGATTAAAAAATTAAAAAAATGGAAGACATTGGATAAAAGCGGGTCGATCTGACCATTCTAGATCTATATCCGAATCTGCATGTGAATCCACATCTTCTGCAGTCCCCACTTCACTCATATCACTGAAAAACACTTCCTCACGCTGTAGATCTACATCCGATTCGTTTTCATTGTCAAAATTGAAATTACAGTGATCCCTCGGTTAACGAATTACCTTCCGTAAGATTCTTAACTTCGGTTAACGAGCAATCCCTCGATTAACGAATTCCTTTCGAGCGGCCCTCAACATGTTTTCGCTTGCACACTAGCTGTCGTATTAGTCCGCCAATACAGTAATCGGTTCTAGGGCTTAAATTCCTTACTATTTTAGTAAATATCAAGAAGTTTGTACTATTCAATAATTTTCAAAGTCTTATATTACAATTTTTAGTCATTTTAACAATTATTTAACATAATTTAAGTATAGGGAAACTAGTTTTTAGCGCACCAAACAGCCTGTCAACACACCATACAGGCGTCAGTCCCTGTGTCTTTACAGTGGAGGTAACATCTTGCTTCAGACTCTCTTCAACATAAATGCTTTTTTCTGTGTTTCCAGTCAAATTATTGGTCATTTTGAAATATATTTTACATGTTGACAATATATAATGCAGTGCAGTGTTGGTTTAAAACAAATAATCTTGAATTACACCAAGAGAATTAAAATTTTATTGGTGAAATGGCGCCATGGGGTGACTTCTCTTCCACCCCAATGCCTTCTCTTCTCCCTTCTCCTCCACCCCCATTCTAATTCCCATTATCATCATCCAGGAGCCTTCTACATGCACACCTCAAAGTAAGTGTACTTTACTACCTTTTTTGTTGACTTAAGGAAATTTTCGGTGAGCTGGAACCATTTACCCAAAAACCCATTGAAACAATGGTTTCGGTTAACGAGTGTCGAGCAACCTTCTGGAACAAATTGTGTTCGTTAAGCGAGGGACCACTGTATCAAGCGAGGGACCACTGTATCAAGCGAGGGACCACTGTATCAAGCGAGGGACCACTGTATCAAGCGAGGGACCACTGTATCAAGCGAGGGACCACTGTATCAAGCGAGGGACCACTGTATCAAGCGAGGTACCACTGTATCAATAAGCGATTGAAGAAATTTAAATGTGCTACTTGTTGAAAAACAGCTTATGGTAGAGTGTAAACTAAAGTAGATACTGTATAAACATCCGGTTTTCGGTAAAAATAAACTGGAGATCGCGCCGAGAAGGTCGTTTTCGCCGGAAATCTCGTTCGGCAAGATTTGAATTGCTAGACGATTGTAAACACATGGCGTAGTTTCGGGTCAAATTCGGGCGCATTGGTACGGATTGAGTTAATATCTCATAAACCTCATATCTCTTTTATCTTTTTTCCGTTATTTTCAGAGTGATGGACCATCACTTTGGGGCCCACCGGGACCAGTCCGCCACTGGTGTTTTCCCATTTTCAGTTGACTCGGATACTGTATTTAAGTTTATGCTCTCTCAAGGTTGGCTGATTTACACCAAATAATTTAATTTATCTTGGTTTTAATAAGTTTTTTTTTGTTATTATTACTTACAGATGATTTTAATGATTTATGGTAGATTTAGAAAAGGTATATTATAGGGTGAAGAGAAACACATTGTGGGAGACATTACAAGTGTATAGGGTGGGAGGAAGGCTATTAAATGCAGTAAAAAACATTGTATGATAACAGCCGGTCAAGTGAGGAAGAAATAAATGTGAGTGTTAGACAGGGATGTGTTATGTGGTTGTATATTATATGGATGTGAACTATTATACTATACACTGGTGGAAATATTAATCTTTCTTACCAGGCTGAACTCATCTTAAATCCTGATTATAGGGGAGCCAATCTGCCACTGTTTATCTCTCCCTCTCTCATACTGGGCGTGTTGTTACAGGTGCTCCGGCCAATATACCCCACACTGGAGGAGATAGCCCGCTACGAGGAGGAGATGGCAGACTCCGATGAAGACAACGAGGAGTCGACAAAGAAGAAAGATGAACAGATGCAGGTTGGTGAAGAAGAGGAGAAGAAGAGAACAGGGGAGACAGAGAATGATGAGGACATACAGATCATTAAGGAAGTGACACCCATCAAGAAGGCTGTGCAGGAGGAGGAGGAGGAGGAGGAGGAGTACCCGCCGTTTGCCACCTTCAAGTACGAGGTCATCGAGAAGGAGCCGTGGGACTATAAGCAGGCAAAGGTAATAGTGGTGGTGATGGTGTTTTAATTATAGTGTTCCTTGTGTTGTAGTTATCATAGTGTTCCTTGTGTTGTAGTTATCATAGTGTTCCTTGTGTTGTAGTTATCATAGTGTTCCTTGTGTTGTAGTTATCATAGTGTTCCTTGTGTTGTAGTTATCATAGTGTTCCTTGTGTTGTAGTTATCATAGTGTTCCTTGTGTTGTAGTTATCATAGTGTTCCTTGTGTTGTAGTTATCATAGTGTTCCTTGTGTTGTAGTTATCATAGTGTTCCTTGTGTTGTAGTTATCCTTGTGTTGTAGTTATCATAGTGTTCCTTGTGTTGTAGTTATCATAGTGTTCCTTGTGTTGTAGTTATCATAGTGTTCCTTGTGTTGTAGTTATCATAGTGTTCCTTGTGTTGTAGTTATCATAGTGTTCCTTGTGTTGTAGTTATCATAGTGTTCCTTGTGTTGTAGTTATCATAGTGTTCCTTGTGTTGTAGTTATCATAGTGTTCCTTGTGTTGTAGTTATCATAGTGTTCCTTGTGTTGTAGTTATCATAGTGTTCCTTTTGTTGTAGTTATCATAGTGTTCCTTGTGTTGTAGTTATTGTTTTTATTTTGTTTTTTTTGTGTTACAGAAGCACATAGTCTCCTGGGAACAGATACGGCGCATTAAGGGAACTTTCACCCGGGAGAAGTGTAAACTCTTCCTCAAGCAGTGTGTCCAGCTCTCCTCCTCTGGCTTTTGGGTCATAAAAGTAAGATGTTTTATATATTCTTAACACAGTGTAAAGAGATGTGTATAGTGGCTATACATAGGTGGAGTAGTGTATAGAGTGGGTGGAGCAGTGTATAGAGGAAGAGGTGGAGCAGTGTATAGAGGGAGGGGTGGAGCAGTGTATAGAGGGAGAGGTGGAGCAGTGTATAGAGGGAGGGGTGGAGCAGTGTATAGAGGGGAGGGGTGGAGCAGTGTATAGGTGAAGTGGGAGTAGAGGGGTGGAGCAGTATAGAGGGGTTGGAGCAGGTATAGAGGAAGAGGTGGGAGCAGTGTATAGAGGGGAGGGGGAGGTGTATAGAGGGGAGAGGGAGCAGGCAGGAGGGAGGGGTGGGAGCAGTGTATAGAGGGGAGGGAGAAAAGTAGAGGGGAGGGGTGGGGCAGTGTATAGAGGGGAGGGGTGGGAGCAGTGTATAGAGGGAGGGGTGGCAGGTATAGAGGGGAGAGGTGGAGCAGTGTATAGAGGGAGGGGTGGAGCAGGGGTATAGAGGAAGAGGAGCAGTGTATAGAGGGAGGGGTGGAGCAGTGTATAGAGGGAGGGGTGGGGCAGTGTATAGAGGGAGGGGTGGAGCTGAGCGTTATTCTCCATAACTTATTAATCGTGGGTTTTTATCATCATCATCGCAGGAAAGAATATCCAAGAGATACGACCTGGCCAACGTGAATTACTCGGACGTGTTCCTGGGGGAGCCGCCAAGGTTCAGAGAGACTCGGGCCAAGAAGATACCTGCCAGCTTAAATCCCGACAAGGAGAAGAAAAAGTTGGCTGCCGAGATGAGGAGGAGAGAGAAGAAGGAGACGAGGGAGAAGAACCCGGACGGAGACGGGAGGAAGCGAGGCAGATCTTCCTTGAACGACGGAGAGAAGGAACGGAAGAAACTGTACGTCTCTCTGTTCTCTACACTTACTGATTCTTTGTTCTCTAGTCACTGTAGTTAGTTGATGGTATAAGCCCTGCCACTATTGCAATTCATTGGCTCATTTTAATGCCACAATTTATGTATGTATAGATATAACTACTTGAAAACATTTCTTTTTTTCAGTATATGAGTGAAAAAACGTTTGAAATAAATAATAATAATCATCATCAAAGTGTGAAACAAATAAGTGGTTTCCCCCTCCAGTCTCATGGCTTGTTGTCCTCCAGTCATTGTTTTAATGTCCTCATTCCCTGGTGCTGTTATACTATACTGCCTCACACACACCCCCTCCCTCCCTCCCTCCCTCCCTCCCTCCCTCCCTCCCTCCTCCCTCCCTCCTCCTCCCTCCCCTCCTCTCCTCCCTCCCTCCTCCCTCCCCTCCCTCCCTCCCCTCCTCCCTCCCTCCCTCCCTCCCCTCCTCCCTCCTCCCTCCCTCCCTCCCCCCTCTCTCCCCTCCCTCCCTCCTCCCACCCTCCCCTCTCTCCCTCCCTCCCCTCCTCCTCCACCTCCCTCCCCTCCTCCTCCCTCTCCCTCCCCTCCCTCCTCCTCTCCCCTCCCCTCCCTCCTCCCCTCCCTCCCTCCCTCCCTCCCCTCTCCCTCCCTCCCTCCCCTCCCTCCTCCCTCCCCTCCCTCCCTCCCCTCCCCTCCCTCCCTCCTCTCCCCTCCCTCCCTCCCTCTCCCTACCTCCCTCCCTCCCTCCCCTCCCTCCCTCCCTCCCTCCCCTCCCCTCCCTCCCCTCTCCCCTCCCTCCCTCCCTCCCTCCCCTCCCCTCCCCTCCCCTCCCTCCCTCCCCTCCCTCTCCCTCCCTCCCTCCCTCCCCTCCCCCTCCCCCTCCCTCTCCCCTCCCTCCCCTCCCCTCCCTCCCTCCCTCCCCTCCCTCCCCTCCCTCTCCCTCCCCTCCCCTCCCTCTCCCTCCCCTCCCTCCCTCCCTCCCTCCCCTCCCCTCCCTCCCCTCCCCTCCCTCCCTCTCCCTCCCTCCCCTCTCCCCTCCCTCCCCTCCCCTCCCCTCCCCTCCCCTCTCCCCTCCCCTCCCTCCCTCCCCCCTCCCCTCCCTCCCCTCCCCTCCCTCCCTCCCTCCCCTCCCTCCCCTCCCCCCCCCCTCCCCTCCCCTCCCCTCCCTCCCTCCCCTCCCTCACTCCACCCTCCCTCCTCCTCCCTCCCTCCTCCCTCCCTCCCTCCCTCCCTCCTCCCTCCTCCCTCCTCCCTCCTCCCCTCTCCCTCCCTCCCCCTCCCTCCCCTCCCTCCTCCCTCCCTCCTCCCTCCCTCCCTCCCCTCCCTCCCCTCCCTCCCTCCGTCCTTCATCACTAACATACACAAAATAAGGACGTTTTTGTGGTCTTTTGTCATTATATGTTGTAAAGATTTATCATGTTATCACAGCCACAACTTTTACACATGTTAATAGTTAGATACAGTACAGTACAGTACAGTACAGTATATATACTTGTGTTCAGTTCAGTAACATTGTCATACAAGTTCACTTAGGTTCAGCAAATACTGTAATGGTTATGGAGAGAAGAGTTGAAACTAAAGGTGGATGTGAACTTAACAGGAGTAAGGAGGTGAAGGACGGGTTGAAGTCTGAGAAGAAAGAAAAACTAAGAGAGGAACTAAAGCAAAGGTTAGAGAGAGAGAGAGAAGAGAAGAAGAAAGAGAGGGAGATAAAGAAGGAGGAGAAGCGTCTACACGTACAGTATGTCAAGGGGAACAGAACACGTGAGACCTAACAACCATAAGGTGAGTAGTAACACGTGACAACCATGAAGGTGGGTAGTAACACGTGACGACCATAAGGTGGGTAGTAACACGTGACGACCATAAGGTGGGTAGTAACACGTGACGACCATAAGGTGGGTAGTAACATGTGACGACCATCAGGTGTGTAGTAACTGAAGTTCTACCTTATACTATTAACATGCTGCAGTGTACAGTAATAATAATAATAATAATAATTAACGGTTTATTGAAAGAGCTTGGCAGCCAGAAGGCTGAAAATATACAGTTACATATTTGGGGAATGGGTTACGAATTACAAATAATATACAAGTGACATAAGTGACACAAATAAGACATATAATAACTAGATGGGGAAAAGCTCAGACTACAGTTCATTTCAACATAGTGACAGTGTGTGAGTGTGTGCGTGTGTGTGTGTGTAATAATAATAATAATAATTAACGGTTTATTGAAAGAGCTTGGCAGCCAGAAGGCTGAAAATATACAGTTACATATTTGGTGAATGGGTTACGAATTACAAATAATATACAAGTAACATGAGTGACACAAATAAGACATATAATAACTGTTGTGGCAGGTGTTGGTGAGTGACCCGAGCCATACAAGAAGTAGTGTGGTCACCAGTACACTCTACCACCCTCACTCACCACACAAGAAGTAGTGTGGTCACTACCACCCTCACTCACCACATGTTAGACTCCTTCACAGTTTGGTACTGTTGGTGTTACTCATCAACAGGAGGCAGGTGCTGCTCTCCACAGTAGTGGTGGTGTCACTGTTAGTTTCTCTCTTGCCAGCAGGTTCTCACATCTATACTGTTAACAAGCTGTGTATCAGTATTTTCCTCATAGAACTTGAACATGATCTGTCATCCTCCACAGGACCTGCCAAAACCCATTCCAATAAGGTGCCGTATCCCGGACGACCTGTTCAGCGACTTCATCATGGTGTTGGAGTTCGTCAACGTTTTCTCTGAACTTGTGGAGCTGAGAGACGTGTATCCTCAGGGCATCACCTTTGACATGCTGGAACACGCACTGGTGGAGAAGGAAGTTGCAGGTCAGTCTCCTCTCTTGGTGTTTGTGTACACACAGTGTTGCCATCATATATGAAGTGCTCCACACGACGAGGACAAGCCCGCCAAAATAATATTTTGAAATATTGGGGTTCTAAGTTTTTCGTGATCTCAAAACCTTGTATACAAGGCGGATTTTTTAATTGATAGAGGTGAGCCCGCCACATGTTGTCTGTCTATAATGCGTTTTTTTCAGCCGAGAAAAGAGGCCCCGCCCCCTCCTCAAGAGTTACAGCTGATTGGCTGTTGCAAACCTGTCCATTTTGTCCTGAGTAATGATGTATTTCTAAATGAGTTTATTCATAATGACCGTTTCTGACGAGAAAGATATTTAACTAAATTATATATAGATATATACCTTCATTATTTCAAACATGTAGGAAATTTATCAAAACTATTAATCGTGAATTAACTGGTAAACTCGGGGAGCAAATTCACGCTTTCGGAGGATGCATTTAATATATACTTATTTTTACCTACAATAAGACATACTAAGACAAATTGCATATCAGGAATAGTAAATTATGCAAAAACGACATTTGAAAAGATCAGAATCACAATGAAATATTACAAGGCCGTCAGCAGAGGTGGGAAAAATATGAAGTAGTTCGCAGTCATATTTCCCACCTCTGCTGACGGCCTTGTAATATTTCAATGTGATCATGATCTTTTCAAATGTCGTTTTTGCATAATTTACTATTCCTGATATGCAATTTGTCTTAGTATGTCTTATTGTAGGTAAAAATAAGTATATATTAAATGCATCCTCCGAAAGCGTGAATTTGCTCCCTTTAGTTAATTAACGTTTAATAGTTTTGATAAATTTCCTACATGTTTGAAATAATGAAGGTATATATCTATATATAATTTAGTTAAATATCTTTCTCGTCAGAAACGGTCATTATGAATAAACTCATTTAGAAATACATCATTACTCAGGACAAAATGGACAGGTTTGCAACAGCCAATCAGCTGTAACTCTTGAGGAGAGGGCGGGGCCTTTTCTCGGCTGGGAAGAAACGCGCTATAGTATTATAGATCATGGACTGAGCTGTCTGGAGACATAGAAAACAATTGTTTGACCCATGGTAGACTTAACCATGTCATGCAGAGTGCCTTATACACCATGAAGGCTTAGTGTACAGTGTTGCCACCATATACAGTATACCATACATCATAGGTTATATAGTTATATCACATATACTTGTATTTCACAATGAACCTCGAGCTAGGTGGAACTACAGTATGTTCCAAGCTGATAGAACAAGATGATTACTTTTTTTTTTTCAAAGTTTGTTGACAGCTGAGGATCTATGCTGCCCTAGGCTATTGCTGTAGTTCATATTATTGTTATTAGTGTACATATAATTTATTTTAATTTTCTCCTTATATCATCTATGAGTGAGGACAGTATTGTAAGATAAGTGTGTACTAAAGACAGTGTTGGGGACATGTTGTTTATGTAAGCTGGTGACACAGACAAGGGTTGGTTGTATAATGGTCCACTTGGCAGGTGTGTTTAATGATGTGCTGCAGCTGCTGCTTCAGGGCATCTTCACACTGCAGGAGGAGGAGGACGATGAAGTGGATGCTGACCCCACCGCTGAGGAAGGTGTGCTACAACTTGTTTATGTTCTTACTTAAGGCAGGTACAATATGAGCCTACCATTATGTTTTATGAACCTGGGTATACTGAGTGGTGTAGCAGAACTGTGTAAAGGTGATGGATGTCTTGTGTGTTGTTGAAGGGCTTGGGGTGACTTGTGTGTTGTAGTGTAGACTTTGGCTTATTTTTACCAGAGAGGGAAAAGTTCTAGTAAGAGTTGCAGAAAAGGGAGAGAGCTTTTGGTGCTTCATGTATTGTAACGCTCCTTCACTTGACAGTGATGGAGACAGACACAAGCGACATCACCATACAGGAGGCAGTGAGGGTCGCCAACCGCGCATCTACTTGGAGCCAGCAATATCATGGACTGCCGCTTCAGAAGGTGCCGCTTGACGCCCTGACAGTCACTGAGGTGTTACGCTTACATCTACTGGCATCGGGGGCTACCAGTGTTGCCAATGGTCGATGGAGGTAAATGTTCATGCGTGTGGTGTAGTGTAGTAAGGGGTGAGGACAGGACTCCCAACATGACTACTGTAGGTGCTGAGAGTGTTGGTTCATGTGTTGGCTGCTCTCCCCCCAAGCTATGTATAATAAGGAATAAGATTGAGAAATGTAATGTATTAAGAGAAGACTTTCACAGTGTACAGCGGACTAAGTTGATGCCTTCCTTTTTCAGGCACTTGAACCGTGGAGGCTTCAAAAACTGGGATGATCCAGGGCTACAATTCAAGCTGGAGGAACCCATCATAATAAAAACTCTATCTACCCAGACTATATTTGATCTCTCCTTAGGTGTGTTCCCCCTTAAGTAATGGTCATTCATCTATGTAAACCTCTGTTGTTCCCTCTTGAGTAATGGTCATTCATCTATGTAAACCTCTTTTGTTCCCTCTTAAGTAATGGTCATTCATCTATGTAAACCTCTTTTGTTCCCTCTTAAGTAATGGTCATTCATCCCCTCAGTTGTCAACAACTTTACCAGCCAGGAGGAACACTTACTGTCTCTCCTCACTTGTGGTTAATTGTTAAGGGAAAGAATTAGACACATATGGTCAAACTAAAGAGTGACTGGTGTTTTTTGGGTCAAGCTAAAGAGTGACTGATGTTTTTTGGGTCAAGCTAAAGAGTGACTGATGTTTTTTGGGTCATACTAAAGAGTGACTGATGTTTTTTGGGTCAAACTAAAGAGTGACTGATGTTTTTTGGGTCAAACTAAAGAGTGACTGATGTTTTTTGGGTCAAACTAAAGAGTGATTGATGTTTTTTGGGTCAAACTAAAGAGTGACTGGTGTTTTTTTGGGTCAAACTAAAGAGTGATTGATGTTTTTTGGGTCAAACTAAAGAGTGATTGATGTTTTTTGGGTCAAACTAAAGAGTGACTGGTGTTTTTTTGGGTCAAACTAAAGAGTGACTAATGTTTTTTGGGTCAAACTAAAGAGTGACTGATGTTTTTTGGGTCAAACTAAAGAGTGACTGATGTTTTTTCCTCCTGCTTCAGCGTATAAGTTGAAGATCCTGAGTGTACTGGTGGGCCAGATCCTAACTTACGCCTCAGTGCGGGACATTATTGATGACAACATTGAGAAGCTGAAGGAGGTTAAGAATAAATTGCGTCTACATCAACTGACCCAGATGAGGAAGGAGAAGGAGATCAATGCTGCCAGGTGAGTTATTGATGAGGAAGGAGAAGGAGATCAATGCTGCCAGGTGAGTTATTGATGAGGAAGGAGAAGGAGATCAATGCTGCCAGGTGAGTTATTGATGAGGAAGGAGAAGGAGATCAATGCTGCCAGGTGAGTTATTGATGAGGAAGGAGAAGGAGATCAATGCTGCCAGGTGAGTTATTGATGAGGAAGGAGAAGGAGATCAATGCTGCCAGGTGAGTTATTGATGAGGAAGGAGAAGGAGATCAATGCTGCCAGGTGAGTTATTGATGAGGAAGGAGAAGAGATCCATGCCGCCAGGTGAGTTATTGATGAGGAAGGGTATGAGATCCATGCTGCCAGGTGAGTTATTGATGAGTGAAGGAGAAGGAGATCCATGCTGCCAGGTGAAAGTGCTGATGAGGAAGGAGAAGGAGACCCATGCTGCCAGGTGGAAGATGAGAGGGAAGGAGAAGGAGATCCATGCTGCCAGGTGAGTTATGATGAGGAAGAAGGAGATCAATGCTGTGAGTTATTGATGAGGAAGGGAGAAGCGAGATCACAAGCGCCGGCTGATGAGGAAGCAGGCGAGATCAATGCTGCCAGGTGAGTTATTATGAGAAGGGAGATCAATGCTGCCCAGGTGAGTTATTGATGAGGAAGGAGAAGGAGATCAATGCTGCCAGGTGAGTTATTGATGGAGGAAGGAGAAGAGGACTAATGCTGCCAGGTGAGTTGATGGAGGAGGCGAGAAGGAGATCAATGCTGCCAGGTGAGAGTTATTGGATGAGAAGGAGAAGGAGATCAATGCTGCCAGGTGAGTTATTGATGAGGAAGGAGAAGGAGATCCATGCTGCCAGGAAGCGAAGTTGATGAGGAAGGAGAAGAGATCACGCTGCGAGTTATTGATGGGAGAAGGAGAAGGAGACTGGATGCTTTTCAAGCAGGTGAGTTATTGATGAGGAAGGAGAAGGAGATCAATGCTGCTAGGGTAGTTATTGGATGAGGAAGAAGGAGATCAATGCTGCCAGGTGAGTTATTGATGAGGAAGGAGAAGGAGATCCATGCTGCCAGGTGAGTTATTGATGAGGAAGGAGAAGGAGATCAATGCTGCCAGGTGAGTTATTGATGAGGAAGAAGGAGATCAATGCTGCCAGGTGAGTTATTGATCAGGAAGGAGAAGGAGATCAATGCTGCCAGGTGAGTTATTGATCAGGAAGGAGATCAATGCTGCCAGGTGAGTTATTGATCAGGAAGGAGATAGTGTGTGTGTGTCATTAGAAGCTTGGTCATCCTTTGTTATGTAAGAAATGATCTTAAAAGTAAATAACAAGAAATAATGCTAAAACTTAGTGTCCAACAGAAGGTTACATGTGTGACTCCCTCCCCAGGCTGCAGGAGAAGCGCGACCGTAAACAGAAGGAGCGCGAACGGCTGTTGAAAGAGGCAGAGAAGAAGGCCGCCGCCGCCGCCATGACCGGTGAACCCGACAAGCCCATCGAGCTGGAGGACGAGGAGGAGGAGGAGGAGGAGGAAGAAGAGGACGAGAGTGAGAAGGTGGCGCGTGAGGAAAAGGAAGAGAAGAATAAGGAGGCCAGGAAGCAGGACTTTCTGAAGCGAGAGAGGGAGTTGATGCAGCAGGTGGGAAGATTTTCGAGTGTTTCTTTGACTCGTTATTTTTATTTGTTTTGCTGTCCCTCGTCTTCGTTACGATAAGTTAATAGGGTTAGCTTGAAAAAGATTTTTACCAGTTTCTCTTAATTATTTAATTTTTTTCATGGGGATAAAAATACTATGTTATTTTATAATTTAGTTTATAACTAATTTAGTATATTGAAAATGTTACGACAGTTAAGACGTTTTAGTGTCCTTATTGATGTTTTCAAAACATCTGTTTTAAATAAACTAAACTATCAATCAAGCAGTTTATCTCACAATAAGAGTGAAAGAGGATTGACAATGTAGTAAAGGAAATATACTACTGTTGGGATTTGCCCTGTAATAACAAAAGGATCTTCGACAGGTTAGAAGAATAACAATTGCAATTAAAGATCAAAATAAAATTTGATTTAAAGGATAAAAAGTTAGTCTTAGAAATTTAGAAGTATGGGTAAAAGGTAAAATTATTAAAATTGCAATTGATATAGCTTGGGCGATTACTCCCCCTAATTTGTTTGGAATTGACCGCAAGATAGCGTATGCAAATAAAAAGTATCATTCAGGTTGAATGTGTGCTGGTGTAACTAGTGGGTTAGCTGGGACAAAGTTGTCAGGGTCTCCAAGAAGGTAGGGATTTAGAAGAGTTAATAAAATTAATGCGGTCAGTATAACTATAAACCCAACAACATCTTTAAAAGTAAAATAAGGATGAAATGGAACTTTATCAATATGTCTTGCAATTCCAAGTGGGTTGTTAGCTCCAGTTTGATGAATAAACAAGATATGGATAAGAGTCGCAGCTGCTACTAAAAATGGTAATAAAAAATGAATTGTAAAAAATCGAGTCAGCGTTGCATTATCAACTGCAAATCCACCTCAAATTCATTGTACAAGTTCAGTCCCAATATAAGGGATAGCAGAAAAAAGGTTTGTAATAACTGTTGCACCTCAGAAAGATATTTGACCCCAAGGTAAAACATAACCTAGAAAAGCTGTTGCTATAACTATAAATAAAATAACAACACCCACTATTCAAGCATGAAAAAATAAGTAGGATCCATAATACATAACACGTCCAATATGTAAGTAAAGGCAAATAAAGAAAAAAGAAGCCCCATTAGCACGGAGTGTACGAAGAAGTCATCCGTAATTTACATCTCGACAAATATGGGCAACACTAGAGAAAGCTAAATCAATATGAGCAGTATAGTGTATAGCAAGAAAAAGACCAGTAACAATTTGGACAACTAAGCACAAGCCTAATAAAGACCCAATATTTCAGAATGTTGAAATATTTCTTGGAATAGGTATATCTACTAAAGCTCCGTTAGCAATTTTAAAAAGGGGATGGCTTTTGCGAATAGGTGTCGTCATTAATAGGATAATCGAAGTGGTCTTGAATAAAGATTAACAATTTTTACAATAACAATAAGAGTCAATAGGAGATAAAGGACTATAAATAAAGTAAAAGATATTGTTGGTGGTCTATAAATAGTTCTTACTAGAGTAGAAGTGGTATCAAGTGAAAACATATCTGAAGAAATGACTGATCTAATAATAGAAATATCAGGAGTAATATAAAGAGGGTCTTTTAGTATTATAAAAATTGTCAAAAATAAAGAAAATCTTGAAATAACTATTAAAGCTGTAGCTGAGAATTTGAATGGCTCGTTAGAAGCAAGTGAGGCAACATAAATAAATAACACTAATATAGCCCCCAAAAAAATAAGAAAAAGAATGTATGAAAATCAAAAAGAGTTGTTGTTCAACCCTGCAGCAAGCGAAATCATAACAGTTTGTATCAATAATGTGAGACCTATAGATAGAGGATGAATAAGACGTGTGAAAAGTAATGAAGTTATAAAAATAAGAGGAAGAATAAAAAATAAGATTTCAGAGAGTAGTTTAATAAAATATTAGTTTTGGGAATTAAAGATAAAAGTTTACTTTTTTCTCTGAAGTTTTAAGAAAATAAATTTCATTTTTGGTTTACAAGACCAAAGTTTTGGTTTAAACTATTAAAACTAATGTCAATTCTTAGATTAATATTTATTTTCGTTCCTCTTGTCGTTGTTTTCTGTGGGTTATGAAATTTTGTTTCTAACCGAAAACATTTACTTGGAGTTCTTCTTAGTTTAGAATTTATTATATTAGGTATTTTTTGAGTCATAGTAATTTGTTTAGCTAAAGTAGGAATCGAAGCTTATTTTATTTTATTTTTTTAACTATGGCAGCTTGTGAGGGAGCTTTGGGTCTTTCTTTATTGATTTCTATTGTGCGGACTCACGGTAACGATTGCTTCAGAAGTTTTAGAGCACTACAATGTTAAAGTTCATTTTTATAAATATCTTATTGATTGCGTTTGTTAAAGAGTGGTGGTTTATTCAAATTTCTTTATTTTTAATGTGTTTTATTTTTAGGTGTTTTATAGGACATGACTTTTCTGTTTCAGGGTTGGGGTTAAGATTAGGTTCTGACCATCTAGGTTTTATTCTAGTTATGTTAAGAATATGGATTATGGCTCTAGTTATTTGTGCAAGTCAAAGAATTAAAAAAACAAATAATTCTCCTAGGGGGTTTTTAGTTGTAAATTTACTATTGCTGTTAGCATTGCTTTTAACGTTTTCAGCAACAGATTATCTTTTGTTTTATATTAGGTTTGAAAGATCTTTAATTCCTACTTTCATTTTAATTTTAGGCTGGGGCTACCAACCTGAGCGAATTCAGGCTGGAGTTTATATGTTATTTTATACATTGTTTGCTTCTTTGCCTTTGCTTGTTTCTTTATTAAGATTTTACAGATTGGGTGGCAGTCTAACGATAGGTTTAGTTCCATGCGCCGAAAGATCTAATTTTATTACTTTTATGTGGTATTTTTGTACAATTTTTGCTTTTGTAGTAAAACTTCCCATATATCTAGTTCATTTATGACTTCCTAAGGCTCATGTTGAAGCTCCTGTAGCTGGATCTATAATTTTGGCTGGTGTTTTATTAAAATTAGTTGGTTATGGTTTGATTCGAGTTCTCTTTTTATTTCCTGAAGTAAATAAAATATTTTCTTTATTTTGAGTTAGTGTTAGAATTTTAGGTGGGGTAATTGTAAGATTTATATGTTTACGTCAAGTAGACATTAAGTCATTGATTGCTTACTCTTCAGTAGCCCATATAGGCTTGGTGTTGAGAGGACTAGTGGTTTTTGGTTGATGGGGTCAAACAGGAGCTGTAGTAATTATGGTAGGGCATGGGCTATGTTCTTCTGGACTTTTTTGTCTTGCTAACATAGTCTACGAGCGTTTAGGAAGTCGAAGATTATTGGTGAATAAAGGTTTATTGAATTTTATACCTAGTTTGGGATTGTGGTGATTTTTATTAAGAATTGGTAATATAGCGGTTCCTCCTACAATTAATTTATTAGGAGAAATTAGACTAATTTTAAGTGTAGTAAGGTGAAGAAAACTTAGCATGTTTGGGATTGGTTTACTGTCTTTTTTTAGAGCTGCGTACACTTTATACATATACTCGATAAGACAGCATGGGTTGTTTTTTAATTCATTGTTTTCTTGTTGTTCGGGAAAAGTTTCTGAATACTTAGTTTTAATATAACATTGATTGCCTTTAAATGTTCTTATTGTAAAAACGGCTATAATTTTACCAAGATTTTAGTTTAAATAGTTTAATAAAAACGTTGGTTTGTGGTGCCGAAATTATAAGTTATTTATTTTAAACCGTAATTTGATATATTACTATACATTTAACTAGGTTGGTATTTTTATGTAGAAGAGCTTTTAGTTGCATTTTGTTGTCTCTCATAAGTTTATATTATAACAGCGTGACAATAATTGAATGGGAAATTATAACTTTAAATTCTTCTTCAGTCGTAATGACTTTAATTTTTGATTGAATTTCTTTCATATTTTTAGGATTTGTACTTTTTATTTCCTCAATAGTGTTATTTTACAGAGGTGATTATAGAAGGAGACAAAAGATTTAATCGCTTCATATATTTAGTTCTTGCTTTTGTATTATCTATAGGCGCTTTAATTGTAAGGCCAAATATAATTAGAATCTTGTTAGGTTGGGACGGGCTAGGCTTAGTATCATACGCATTAGTTATTTTTTACCAAAATGAAAAATCTGCAAATGCAGGAATACTAACAGTTTTGTCTAATCGGGTCGGTGACGTTGCTATTCTTCTTAGAATTTCTTTGATATTTATAGCTGGGGGTTGAAATTTTATTTTGTACAGAAGATATATTAGGGATTCTAATTTGTTATTAATAAAGTGTTTAGTTGTCATAGCAGCTGTAACAAAAAGGGCACAAATCCCTTTTTCTGCTTGGCTCCCAGCTGCCATGGCAGCTCCTACTCCAGTGTCTGCACTAGTTCATTCTTCTACTCTAGTTACGGCAGGTGTTTACTTATTAATTCGTTTTAGTCCAGCTTTAATAGGATCAGAAGCTCAATCTGTTTTATTAATTATTTCTTGTCTGACAATATTTATAGCAGGATTAGGGGCTAATTTCGAGTATGATTTAAAAAAGATTATTGCTTTATCAACATTAAGCCAACTTGGTGTTATATTAAGGATTTTAGCTCTTGGTTTTGCTGATTTAGCTTTTTTCCATTTGTTAGCTCATGCTTTGTTCAAGGCACTCTTATTTATATGTGCTGGAGTAGTTATTCATGCTGTAAAAGAATACCAAGATATCCGTTGTATAGGGAGATTAGTTTTTAGAATACCTTTAACTAGAACCTGTATAAATTTGGCTAATTTAGCTTTATGTGGAATACCATTTTTGGCAGGATTTTATTCTAAAGATTTAATTTTAGAAGTGGCTTTTATAAGAAATATTAATTTATTGGCTTTCATTTTATATGCTTTGGCCACAGGATTAACTGTTTGTTATAGATTTCGTTTAGTTTATTATAGTTTGACGGGCCTATTTAATTTAAGGAGGATGAGCCAAGTTAACGATAAAAGT